TAATCATATGGTTAATTAACAGAAGGCATAGAAATATCACAAAAATACCAACAGGGCCCAAACTGACTCGCGATGCAATTAAATACATAATTTATCCAATAATCAAGGCCTACACAACACAATTTGTTAGCTATTTATACCCAGGAGCTTGGCTTTAGTCCAGGGAAGAAAACACAATTCAATGTAAATCTTTTTACCAAATTAATTACAGGCTAATGGCACAGAACTGTCTTTATAGCTGTCTATTCCTGGATTGGCGGGAACTTTAACAAGGTTACAGCCGTGTTTATGTACGTGGGTAAAATTGAGTGTAAATTCGTGGCATATTGGAAGGCACTAATTCACTTTATTGAGATCCATTAGCCTGTAATTGGATTTTGGTAACAGAATAAAGGTTAAACAAGGGCAACTACACTAAACGGACAAGTAATAAATAATACGAAAATAACACTTTAACTCAGCCAGCTATTCACAAGGCAGCATTTCATTATTTTACAAAATTAACATAAATAAATCAAGATAATATGATATATCCCGCAACATGATAAACAAAATAAGTTCGCTATGAAATTGTCTGTATCTCACAACTATTAGGACTGCTAAACCACAGTTTTTTACATAGCATCTGAACCTTAGAAGAGGTTCGAGGCGAGTTAGGGTCGAAGAGTTTGAAGCCGGATCTTGAGGGAGCAGATTTCCAGGTCCTCTTGATGCAGGGAGGAGGCGGGACATTAGGATCGGACGGGGACGGGAGGTCTGTTTTGTAGGATACAGCAGAAATTACGTGTCCTGTACTTTCCATTAACTGTTCTGTGTCGCTCTCTGTTTTGAAGCACTTGGCTGGATGTTCATCACAGTCTGCCTGGGGCTGGCTCCGTTTAAGACTTGTTGTGGATGCAAGGTCGTCACATTGTGGCACTTCAGCTACAGTTGCAGTACACACCGGTTCTTCAGGCTCACAGTACTCGAACAAGCTGCTCAGGTTCACTCTCCGTTTAGGAACGGACGGTCTCCGCTGAGTTGGTCTTTCTGTGGAAAGTGACAAGAATTTCCTGATGTCCGGTGACTTAGTTCTGGATAAGGCAGTTCTGGATCTAGTCAAATGCTTGGGTGACATATCCAGTTTCCCTTCCTTCGTCGATTTGTAGAATTGGTCCAGTCGAGGAGACTTAATCGGGGAGCTGTTGAGAGATCGGCTCCTAGTGAGCCTACGTTTTGGCATCTTGAAAACTTTACTAGGAGAACGGTACGAGTAACAGCTGCTAGAAAACATTGACAGAAATGGTCCACAACAGAACGCAGCAATAGAGATGTGTAGCGCGCGCTGTTTGAAATAATTGCAAGGTCGCGAGCCAATCAGAGCGCGGCTACAGCGCCTCTTCCGTGTGCGCCTCTTCCACATATATCTCAGTGCGTCACATGGGCTCTCACGTGACTCTGAGCAGAGTGCAAGGCTGCATTTGCTTCAGCCTTGCGTGGTAAATTAACGGTAACGTGCTACATGTGTATTGACCAGCTTTCCAACACAGACATTAGATTTTCACCGTTTTGGCAAACTTGGAAAGAAAGCTCAGCCAATTCAACTATTCGCAATTTCTTTAACTACTCTAATTTCTATACATAGTTACTTGCACTTATAACACATAATTTGTGTCTCAACATAAACTTACTTTAGGACTGTGTATCAGAGTAATGTTGATAATGTTTCCTTTAACTGTCCGTGCCCGTGTAGCCAGCTAAGGGCATTAAGCCAAACTGCAAACTCGGCGTTGAACATCAACTATTCACACCATTATTTTACTTAACGATGGTATAAAACCTGGCTCTGGTCCAAGTGTGTGCGTTCTCGGAGTCACTGAGCTTAAAGTTGTGTTGCCTAACCCTCATGAAACGTTGATAGATATTTGGCAGGGTTCCCAGAGTACAAGTAGCTTTATTATAGCTTTATTCAACTAGTAATTGGGCAAATTTAGAATGAAGCGAGAGCTAAAACAGACTATTGAGGAATGGAACACAGTATTTGATGAGACGAAGAAGATTTAGTGCATACACTTTGATACAATTTGTATAGATAATTTAGCGTCCACTTCAGAGTTACCACGATCAAACAGTGTGGATTTACTCAATTTAGAATTTAAGAATATAATAGCTGTACTTTTAACACATAATCATATGATTTCGAAGATTTGCAGGAAATATCTAGCTCAAAGCGTTGAAATCTTGGTCCCTCAACCGTTCATTCAGCCGATAGTTTAAGACAGGCATGGCCACGTAACATGGCATAATGTTTACAATGCATCTAGTTATCAGTTGCCGGAAGTAACCCTCCCTTGGCTGATATGACAGTTAGTGAGCATTATCTCCCGATTGTGCTCTATCAAATCCCGATCCTGGGGGTACATTTAGATGGGTGCACCCGTGCAGAGGAACATGGCCGCGTGTCGTACTGATTACTGACACTGTATGAATATTGTAATCGTGCATTAGTAATGAGAACCACACCGTGAGTCATCAGTCACAGAATCGTGTCATTAGCAGCTCTCAGTATTATACACGTTCTACACTTGATGCTTGTACTCAGGACATCATTGAATTGCTATCAGAGCAATCTCTCTTGCAGTCAACCTCGTCGTTTGACCTCATGACAGTGATCTGAAATGCTTGTACCGTGTACCAACTAGATGAGAGGAATAGTGAATACACAGACACGCAACATGATGCATAATCAGTGTGTTATGATTTACATGTATTTAATTAAGGCTGAAGCACCGTACACACTGCAGAGTGCAGACTAAATGCTACACATGCATAATGACATATTTGACACAGCCCTACTTGTAATAATTTTCTCAGATGACGGCAGGGGCTGGCCTGTTACAGCCAGCTTTACTAGCAGGAGTCGCTTTTAACCGGGCTATTTTTGCACATTGAGTCAGTCACAGTGCAATGTTGTTAACGTTTCGAGACAAATGTAACACTGCTAGAACGAACGTCATAGGCTTTTGAAACAGAAACTAGGAGTAAGAAACCCGCCAGGTTGAATTCTACATTTTTGGGATTGTTATACAGACTATTAAGAAACCATCCCAATGTTAAACACCCTATGACCAGATTTGATCGAGCTTCTCCTATAATTATAATGGGATATTGGAGGCCACAACTGAGACCATGTTTAACTTCTGATTCATGAGACCTAGAGTTCTAGTTGCTATCATAGGTTGCTATGCGTTACAATGCACGTGAGCCACACGAGCCAGGTTGCTTTGTAACTGCATTTACCGGACTCTCAAATCTTTTCAGCAAGCCATTTAACAAGCAATTTTAAGGGGCACGGGGGGCTAATAGTAATCCACACATGCTTTTTATTTTAAGGTATGCTCTCAAAGCTTTATCCACACTGAATAACAATGCAGCGTTTAACATTAGTCCCACCAATAAACCTTCCCGCATAATAACTCTCGCCATCAATTATGCAGTAATATCACCATCTATATTCTATAATCGCGTGGCTCTGTGGTTTATGTATAATCACGAGCTGGGACCTCGCTTTTATTATACCGGGCCGGAAAATCACGTTGATCTAGCAATGTCTTCTCATAATCACAAAGGAGGGCTCTCCCACTCCCAGACTACAGGCTATTTATATTTTAGCCAAACGATCTGCCGATGGCACGAACCGGCTATTAATATCATTCAATGATCTAAAGTTAGAAAAAATTTCGCAACCAAGCTTGAAATAGGGGCTACTGAGATGGCACGCACCTGAGAAATCATTTGTTTCTGCACAAGTGGCCGTTTGAACTGTCGGAATGAGGGCTTGGCTGGCCAATCATCAGCCATCCAACTCTTTCCAGGCACACGTCCGAACTCTGGTATATCATTGTTCTTAAATTTCTTTTATCTCCAATTGGGTTCAACAATACACGATCAAGGACCTTAATGTTAATAATTTTATTGGTGTGAGAGGTGTGTGTTGATGCTTTTGTTTAAATAGGTGGCACACGTTTGAAATCAATGCAAATATAATCCTGATGAGGGGAATCACGTGGGGTACAGTGGTGGTTACCATCACTGCCACACAGCTGCTTTACAAGTTGGCGGGAATATTTGAATATGCGAGTTAAACATGCACTGCGGGGGGAGATGCACTTGAAATGCATGTCACGTGATATGAGGACTGGTTGCTGATTGGTTGGTTGTTGTGAGAGCAGAATTATGATTGGTTAGCTGTCACCTGCACGTGCTTTCAACGCCATGTCACGTGCCGTCGATGAAACGATTATATTGGCCCATTCAAATATATCGAGAATTGTGATTGACTCTGGTGCTATAAGCGAAGCGTTACATTTGACCGTGCAATTGTCTGTCGAGAGTAAACGATGATTGATGGGGCAGGACAGTATTGTGCTCAGATAATAGAGAAGTCGAGGCCGGCAAGTTCGTTAAAGGGACATAATGATAAACTGCTGGGGTGCACAATGCAAGCACTTCTCTAACAATAACCTCCAACTCAGTACTTAGTCTGGTCTATGAAGTCAGCGAACCATTCACTGAAGTGAGATGCCAGATCATGTTAGAAAACTACAGCACTCCCAGCAGGATTAGCTGGTTAATCATTTTAAAACCCAGACTTAGTAGGAACATTTAGTGCACGTGAACTTCTACTTTTGAGTTCCTCAATACGAAGTTGGAGGCAACATCGTCCTGAAAAGCCGAGCCATTTCAATGCACACTTAGCAAGTACACGCTAGATTTGCCTCCATCTTGACGAATAAGCTGCTTTGTGTCACTTGGAAACAGTTCGCAGTAGACGGAGATAATGAGGATTAAAGATCTCGCGTCGGTATTAAAATTTGCACCCTCTTGTTGTAAATTTGAGTAGCGGAGTTTCACAACAGAAATTCGGAATATAATCAAGATCGTATAAGATATTATGATACTGATAATTTACAATCAATGATAAATATTTTATACAAAAGCTCTGTTGATTATTATAAACCTGCATAAAAATCAATAAATTAGTATGTTCATTCCGGGTATAAAAATAATTATCTCAAAAACAAATATGTCCTGAAATTGTGTAAACAAAAGTAGACATAATGTTAAACCTAAAAGTAAAAAACATCCACTAAGTACAAATGCTTGTGTACAGTCAACAACGATACATAGTCTGTTGAAAAGATTTACAAACTCACAAAAAATTAAACTTTCACTACAGTAATAACGTTTCTTTTCCGTTAAAACTTAACCTATAGATTGCAATTTCTATTGTTCATATTCGTTGTCCATATTTGTTGTCCATATTCATTGTTCGTATTCATTGTCCGTATTCATTGTACGCCTTTCGTGATCATCCTAGAATGTAACATTGGGGCAAGACTCGAGTCGCACCCCGGAATTTACTCGAGGGTTCGTGAGGGAGACTGGGATCCCGTTTAGGATAGGATCTTCTAAACATCCCAGGAATTGATCTGAAAGAAAGCAGCAGTTTAACAAGTGCAGCTTGTTGTATTAAGCTGAACGCATTTCATTATTCTGTATAATATATTATTTTAACAATTAACTTTCTAACAACACAGAACTCATTAGTACAGGAATCCAGGCTTCAGAGTATGTGTTGATCATTCCCCCCAGAAACTGGGTAAATAAAATATGCTTCACTAAAACTCACTCTAAATTACCGGTGAACTTCATGTTCATACTCACTATTCAGATACTTCATTCACACTACACTCATGTTAGTCACACTACACTCATAACTCATGTTAGTCACACTACACTCAGCACACTACTCACTATACTTCTCACTGTCTCCCTCACTATAACTCATATCACCTCCAAGTCGAAGAGAGACTGGATCGCTTGTCAACTTCACCGTTACTTCACTTTCATTGTCATCCACCTGAAGAGGGAATATGTACTATTAAGTATTACTGGTAAAGTCACTGGTAAATTTACTGGTAAATTTACTGGTATAACAAGTAGACTGCATGAACCTGATATTTACTGAAATTTTAAATCGCATTTTAGATATTTTATAGAAATAGACCAATGAGAAATTTTTTTAAAAACCAAGTTAGAATCACTAATGAGGTCTATTCAACAATATTAGACATTACTTTGAATGTTTGATGAATACTAACGCCTATAAATTGCCGATGCTTTGAATTCTGTGGCGGGAGTTCTAGTATTGTTGCATTTTAAAAGTTTAAAATACCAATAGACTGTCAGACCAGCTAGTTGAAAACATATTGTACACATCAGACCAGCTGTTCATCGTATGACTCATGACAAAAACAAAGTACTTGTTCTGGAGTTTTTATAGTACTTTCAAATTCACTGTCAATCGTCACATTTGAACAGGAAGTAAACAAGGATCTATTTGTTTCTTGGAAAACAGGCATGAATTTCACGCTGTCTGACTATTATAACATTTCCACAGAGTAAAATGCCATATATTGAGATAATTCGTGCGAGTATTGAGTAGATCCACATAGAATGTCTCTTAAAATGCGATCTCGTGCTCTCGTGATCTCGTAAATCTGGTAAAATGTCGACAGTAATTTGCTACGTCGACGGTAATATCATAACACGTCAGACCTCAGTATTCCACATTGAGTTTCTATCGGTAACCGAGTTGTATATCCACCAAAATTCGATTGTCCTCCGATATTACGAGGTTTCTAATCTTGTTTACAGGGAGATGTGGGCCTCAACACAGCTTGTAAATCTAATGATTATACCTCGATAATGGCCCTGGTCCCAGGACATGGTGAGGGGGTGCGAAGAACCATGACCTCCACCAGATCCAAGTTAATTAACATCGCTTGTTTTTATCAAAAGTATCTCTCTTATCTCAAGGGATCAAACCTTAGAAGTAGCAACTAAAATTGATAAACTACTTAGCGCTGTGAAAGTGTGAAGATAGCTACACATGATAAAACTTACCGTCACAGAAGCAGAGCCCGAGTTAAGCATCACAGTAAGGTGATGTGGGGCTCCATCACAGAAGTAGAACGAAGTAGCACCCTCCACCGGGAACAGTTCCTCCGGCTCCCCACCACCAGCACTTATCAGCATCTGAAATGGAGTGGTCGTTATGTGTCAACCGGGGACCTTATCAAGATTCAAAAATAAAAAGACCTGTCATCCGTACTTCCATAGCTTATCTTTAAGGAGCCGATGTGTCAAAAATTACTAGGTAAAGAGGAAAACTGGAGGGTTTTGTTGGGATTTCTTCCCTGTCATGAGTTCAATGGGGTGGTGTCTACAAAGTGACGATATTTTCCAATGAAGATAACCTGATAATAATCATAAACGCTTTTCAATTCGTGGGAATAGGTATAATATTGGCGCCAAAACAAAATTGGGAAAGTTTAAACCCACGATTTTAGCGCGAAAATGAATTTAAAAAGAACACTTTTTGGCGGCAAATAAGTTTTAAACTTATTTACCAAGAGTAAACCTGTTAATGGTAGAAAACCGTACCGGTGCTAGATCTTTCAGCACATTTAGAAAATAACCTACCGAGCATCTGGCTTCACATTGTCTTCTGTATCTACTAAGTCCATGTACAAACCAGAAACCTTTCTCCAAAAGGTTGTACTCGAACCCATATCCGTCAATTGATGTTGTGAATAAGAGAACTTAAAAGTGACCAATGGGTTTCTCCGCCGCTATCCCCCGTTCAAAATGGTCATTTAAAAACGCACATAGGCTGCATTAACAGATTTAAAACTGTTATTTACTGTCTAATGTTTGTCGGATAGGAGCCAATAACGTGCAAGACGTTGGACCAGGTCCAGCGACCGAGAACCAGATGGCCACGGTTTAAAAGAGGGCTGCTCTAAATCTGCATCGTTTTAGATAAAAGCAGGTGGTTGTACCTCACTACCTTGATTGTGTTATCTTTTGTCGACCAGGACTTGTTAATGAGGAAATTAACAGATTAACGCAAATATTCAGGGCTACCTTTTGAAGTGTAAACGAGTTTAATGAGATGGTTTGCCTGGGGCTACTATTATTTCCCGTGAATTAGATCGTTGCCGAGTTTCTTCAGCAAATCACAGGGTTAAACTAGGTTAAACTGAAGAATATTGTGGCCAGGTGGCCCTGGAATACAGGAACAGGGGTACAAGGGTCGCGGAACAAGTCCTTAATATTTATAAACATGTTTGTAAACACATATCTACCCTCAAACATTGCGACATAACATTGTGGTACAATATATGAAATTCATAATTTAGGGCGTGCTGCAGAGTGCAGTCTTTAAAAATAAAAGTTATATGGATATTGAATATGCATGACGACGATTATGTTGAAACATCAAACAGGTGATAGCGCATAGTTGAACAACCTGACAAGGGCTATTTCGAGAAATCAAACAGAATCACGTACAAACAAACAAACAAACAAACTCACCCTGTAGTTGTCAAGAGAGATTTGGAGTACCACGCTATCCTGTGAGTCCAGCAGTGTCATCAGGGTGCCAGTTTGGCGACTTGATTTGAAGGTCAGCAACAGCATCGTATCAGTAGATATATCCACATCTGAAAAATGGTTCAATTTGGTTACAGCTGCGGTAAGATGTGTGATAATTGTATGATAGGGGGTCAGAAAAGGGGTCAATAGTTTAGGGGGTCAGAAAAAGGGTAAGGCTCCAGGAGAATGTGTCGGGTAGAAGTCCGACGTGTGACTAGTTTCAAATTTTTCCTCTGGAAATCCATGATACAATGTGTTTGTTGTATGCCGAATGTATGCTAAATCTCCTCTATGTGTTTGTTATAGTATTCCATAGACAGACGGCTAATTGAGCACTGCGCGTGAAGTCTAAAGAAATAAATAGGATATGTGGCTGTCAAAGAGGAACTGCCAATAGTACAGATATAAAATGAGTACTCTCGCGTGCGTTCGTGTTTTTAGCTCTGGCTCTGTTGAAGTTAAAGGCCTAAACTTCTTTGTTAGGGTAAACACGTGGATATGTTAATTAACTTTTATTTCTCCCACCGGCAGCCTACATTCTGATAAACATTTTGTTATGACAATTGCATCATGCATAGTTATAACATGATATGTTAAAATATTTCTGAAAAGTCTAGTTCCAACATGAGACATAGGAACAAATGAGTGTTTTTAAAGGGGTACCTCAAGGCTCAACCTGAATATTGGCACTGCTGTTTAAGCTTTTAAAAGAAGCCCCCGCCAACATGCTCTCAGCTCAGGGCTGTATAATCGAGTACTGGCCGGCTATTTATAGAGTCGGTATCCTATCAGGTGAATACAAAAATATCATATGTTGCAAGGACGTAAAGGTATGGAAAGTCTGTTAAGAATGGGCACGTGTATCGCTTATTGTTGACACATGTTATAGGTTTAGCTGCAACTATACTACAAGGCTTCCCGGAGTTCGTTCAACAGGGTCTCCACTTCACGCTGTTATAAAAGGGTGCACTAGGTGGTAGACTTAGAGTCTGATGTGGAATATTACGGAGCGGTTGTTGTACTGTCACTTTCACCTCTGATCCGCTTCATCAACACCATCACTTAATCAGTTTAACGTCATTGGTAATTTAACAAACTGGTATTTTTAACTGGCCGTTTTAACGAAGCGCACCCGGGTCCCGTGCTTATCGCTGGAAAACTATTGGTCGAAAAGTGGGTAGAACATTTAACATTTAACAAGGTCAGATAATAAGGTACCAATTTAATGAACTCAGACAATCGGGCATCAATTTAATGAAGTCAGACAATCAGGCACCAATAGCTTTCTAGTTTTTAGTTCTACCTTATCGTTAGAAAGTTATTGGTCGAAAGGAGGGTAAAAATTTCAAATTTAACGAAGTCAGACAATCAGGTACTACTTGTGAGGAACACATTTACCGGTTGTTAACCCTTAAAGATTAAAGGTAAATAGGGGGCGTGGCTCGTGAGGGGGGAGGGGGGGGGGGGGGTGAGGGTAATTCGGTGGTGAGAGTAATTTAAATAAGAGGTAAATTTGTCTATCAACTGCAGCTCAATATTACTAATAACTCAATGTATAGAAAGCATAACAGTCGAGTTTATCCCTCATATCACTCTCTTTCTCACCAGGAATGAGGGAAGAGTCGCCGTTAAAGAAGTGAGCTGAGGACATGGCCCCTCCCTCCGTACACTGCGGTACATTCCCCACAGTCGTGATGGTGGAACTGTCGTAGGTAGTCCTGTCTAGCATAATACCACTGATACATCCCACAAACTCCATGTTGAACCCGAGACTCTGAGGATAGAACAACTATATTAGGAATTGAAGGGAAGTGAAGACGGTAGGAATTCAAGACTAAACGAAACCTTAGGAGCGAACAAATTATTTAAGACAGCTGTAATAAGGACTGGTATTTGACCGGATATCCCCGGCTGCATTCCAGGAAGTTTTGTTACCGTACCTCGTCCTGGTTTACTGAGGGAGGTGCTCCTCCGATGCAGATACCGTTACTGCACGAGTCTAGCTCGTCTTCACTCACCAGAGCAAACCCGTGCGAGGTCCTGCCTGACCGTTCCATCACGCCTGCAACAAATACCATTCAAATCATTGACCAAATCCTTACAGTGAAATCTGTCTTACAATTTAGATTTGCCGCTTATCAAACATTTGTGTCTCAAAGTTTAGCTTTATTCTGTCGATTCATCACCAAATTGGGCAAATATTGCTCAGTTATGACGTTTCAAAATTCTCACCGCTGTCCTTAGATTTGTCCACTATCAACTCAACGTTGTAAGCTATTCTGGAAAATTTAACCTGAAATAAATAAGAGTTTAATAATTGACATGCTCAATGCTGAGGATTATAATTATCAGAATTGGAGTCGGTACAAAATAACTTTACTGTACAGTATTTACCTAGTAGGTAGGTTCAAGATTGTAAGGAATCAAGTAAGTCATATTATCGCCGAGTGGGAATATTGGCACGTGGTATTGAAACTATAATCTGCCCTATCTGGTGTGACGAATGCTCGTGAAACTGGTTTCAATTCAATGAGCACCACGCCAACATGGGTCCCAGATCCTAATTCCTACGGTCTGATTGAGACCCCCTTGTTTGAAGGTGTGAACCACCTTCACCAGTAATTGTCAGTATTATTAACATCTCGTGAAACTGCCAAGTCTGACGCGCTGCTACTGGTGGGTGAGCGAGCGAATAGTAGCTGATACTAATGCTAAATAGCAAGGATCTGCCGCGCGGCAAGTAAGTACCCACAGCGCACGTGGACCCTAATTTAATGCACGATAGTAGCGTATCAAGTAACAAGGGGCCTGATTATAACCCGGCACGGGCAATTAAACAGCATTCGAATAACTGCGTGGAGTAGTGCATGAGCTTGTTACCGAGCATGCCCTTCACTTAACGAGCATCTGTAGCTATCTTGCACCGACAATTTAGACACAGAACCACTGTACGCCTGGAGATTGACCTTTGTGCCGGTGTCATTAGCGGGATGAGTCAGGTACTAATCACTGTATAATTCGAGGTAAGTGGCACACAGCATTAACCCAACTGCATCTTAGAAGACTGAAATTATTGTTCAGCTCACAGATGCAACCCTCATTAATGTCAATTAGGACTGGTCAAATTTCAATACAATTAAGTTAGTGGGCAGTGATGCTCTTTAGGACAAAAAGGTAGTCCCCATTTACAGAGACTCATGCATATGCAGATAGAAACGGAAACCCGGAGAGACCTGTTTACTTAAACCACAGAGAATTAACCCTTTAATGGGTTTCCTGACCCAATTAATTTCTTCTTGTATAAGATTAGAACAGTAATGAATAAAAAGAAACAATGAGACTCAGTCAACGAATGGCGTCTCGTGACTCACCACGCTATTCGTTGCCCCCCCCCCCCCCCCCCCCCCCCGAAACGTCAGTAGCCCCTAACTGTCACTCAGGACGTAAAAAGGGAAGAGAAACTATAATATTGGTGAGTGCATATTGAACTGATAAAACATTCGTCTCAAGTTGACACCTCGGTTTGCTCTTCTCCTAAATATGCTCCCCATAGTGTCACTCGTCTGTCATATTATGGCAGATACCTTTCAGATGAACGAGCAATGACCGAGACATCAGACAGGGTGAGTGGAAAATTGGGGTTTCATTTGCGCGCCAAAGTTTCATTTAAATGGTGACTCATCTTATCGGTGATATTAAGGATATCACGATTATTCCTGTTTCAAAATTATTACACACGAGTGACACATTGGGGACTGGTGGAGATAGCAGCAAACCCCGGATAAGTTCGCACCAAAGTGTCACTATAGACAAATGTATGATATGTGGACCTCTTGATTGCAGTAATAACAGTATAATGTCTAATTTCTCAGTGGTATGGGTGAAACTATTGTGGCCTTAATATATTCATCCCTAAATGTTAAGATCCTAAACAGGGAGACAATTAGGACTCACCCTATGTGGAACCCCATCGTTGATGCTGCCCTCCCATGTCAACTCCATAGGTTTACCTCCCATAGTGATAGACAGAGTTACCTGAAAGTGGTTGGAAAAGTGAGCAGATTTAGGGACAAACCGTCATTCTAAAAGGAAAGATAATGTAAGTAGCTAGCATTTAATTTTAAATGTGGTTTTCACTTTTCAGCGAACCTTTTCGTCGTTGAACTTGAGAATGATTTCCTTTCCGTTAGCACTGCGGGCGAAGAACAGGACACCAGAGCTGGAAACTGTTGACACGGAGAATTCCAGCACGAACCTGGGTAACTTAAATCAGTCTTAAGAGGTGGATTAATTTCGTTATTGAACACATTTCGATATTTTAAAATCAGTAGTCGGTGCCATCTTTTGCGGTTGGTTTTTATAGTAGAATTGATAAGATTTGATATCAGAATCTTGCCATAATTCTGGTATACACTTATACAGTGGGAAAGCAGTGGGAAAGCAGTGCTGACTGAATGACAGTCAAGTAACAAGCACGCACATTAGACGACCTGCACTTGTGCAAGATATCACGTGCACTGGTCACTTGCAACGCATCTCAACTCCCCGCACTATCTAGGAAGTTTGTACATGAGACAAGGAGCTGTAGGGCGGGCAGATCTTGCATGTAAAGTACAACGGTTTTTTGAGAGATGGTGGTCCTATACTGTCATGCACTGTCATGCAGCAAGAGCTACAAGTACAATGTTCCCGCCCGCTTTAAATTTAAATCCCCGTTTAAAGGTAGGCATTTTTATTAAGGTCGCGAAGTATCGAAATAGATCATGACCCTATGATTCATACATGATAAATAAAGATGCTAAATTTAAACCAACTTTGTAATTAAAAGATTCGTCCGACAACACTAAAGTGCCATTTTGGATACTCGATAAGCTATAAATAATTACAAATAATCCTTACCCTAGGATCAGTCTAAATTCTAAAATATAGCCAACTCCTACCTGATGTAGATAGAGTTGCTCCTGATGTTGTCAATCTTGAGGAAGTTCATGACGCCACCCTCTGAAGATACCAGGAAACTATCAGGAGCTGTGTTAGTCTGGTAACTGACGCACTTCAACGACTCCAGGTTGGCTATCTCGAACTCAGGGGTCATGGTAGAGGCTCCGGCTGTGACGGGCATGTCCGTGGGTCCGTCTGCTGCCAGGCCTGTAGGGAAGGGAGGTTTAGTACCAGGTATTTGGCATTCCTTTAGTTTTCAGTGCTTACACAGCTCCATTGGTATGAAGGTGCAGAACCTTCGTAGGATATGCCACTTCGGACTCTCATCCAGTCCGTGCAAAAGCTAGTGATTGTTACTTGTTAGGGGCTGGTATTAGACTCTGATTCATGGTACTGTAAGCCGTACTGTTTGGCTGTGATGCTGATATATAGCTGAAGTATAGCTGATATAATATAGCTGAAGCCATTTCGAGCACGGTCTATAATACCGACTTCTCAATACAGAATATAAACTTTAGAGATATTTATCGTGAGAAAGGAGGAATATTTGTTGGCTTAGCAACACATAAAGTTTGATTAACGATTGCATTGCTTCTTCTCGTGAGACCGGCTAATACCCCTCAACCACGTGACTTACCACGTGAAACTAAACAGAGCGCTTATTGGTCGGTTTACAGAGCTCTAAACTCTGATTGGCTGTTTGCCAGCACTCCTGCCAACTCAGAGCTGGTTGGGGTTTCTAATTAATTAAATATCGGCGATTCGGAGCTGACGACTGTTTGTTGTTTACATGCAGATTGCTGGAGGTGTGTCGCTATGGCAACGTCAGTAGACTCCACACGACAGATTGCTGATTGGTGAGGGGTCCCAAACAATGCGAAATATGTCACTGTCAGGGACAAAACATGTGCCTGGCCGACCCCCAGAGTCGACAGCAGCTGCCAGCCTGCATGTGGGGGCCTGGCCAGGAGCCACTTAGCTCGTGTGTGCCACAATGGGACCTCAAGTAGCTTCTAATCAGCCATGTGTACCAATGTCCAATATTGCTATACTGTAGCCACCTGGACACTTGATGTGAAGTGAGGTATAATCAGGTATACTGACTAGATAGTTAATGAAGGAATGTTACTGATTGGATTCCGAGCACGCTGTTTATTATAATTGGGACTGCACCTGCACCTTGAAAAGCACTGCACCGTATTATTTAGGGTGCATGCTGTCTGGTACTTGCGAAAAGATTGTAACCGTGATGTAGCCAGCAGCTTACAAAATTCATCAAAAGAGTGAGCCACGTGATAGCGACTCCAACCATCCACAGTGCACTTTCGGGCCACAAGGGCCTCTCATAGGGGGGACCTTAGAGCGAGGATAGCCAATCAGAGAGCCTGCACGTTGCACGTGCTACTTAGAAATATTGCGAATAGCACGTGTCAAATAACTCGAACCTGCTTTGTCAGGACGCTGATGCGATTTGATAGCACATGGAACCCTTTCAGAGAGACAATAGGGAAGTACGATTAAAATAACAATAGCATTAATAGTAGATAAAATGTGCATGACTAAAAGCATCAAACTTACTTTACAGAGCTATTGATAAAGTGACAATAGTGATAATGAGAACCTTAATTGTGACAGAGTGCATGCCACTGGGTCTGAAGAATAAAAAATACAAATGGGTCAGCTTCTTACTTTTTATTGTTCGGCACCGATCAAATATAACATTCGTCTTCGCAACAGCATCGTAGGCGAAATTGAAGATCCTGTTGGGATCAAATAAGATCATGTCATATATTTTCTACAAAATGAAACAAGATAAATAAATTTGTTTATTCAAGTGAACTAATTAAGTAAGTTTAAGTAACCAGATTATAAAACAAACTTGTCCTTGATAACGAGGTCGCTGATACAGCCAGTGTAGCCATATCCCCGTATACCCAGCTCCGCAGGCAAGAGACCCAAATACAATGCCTTACCGGAATCCACCTCGAACACCTGGGATTCTCCTAATATCGAACCGGCTTCTTTGGTATCGTCCACAAACAGAGATACACTGTCGGGTGAGAGCAGTGTTAAACTGATACAACTCTAGAAATGATTAGAACACGTGCTGCTTCATAGATGATAGATATATAATAGAGCCAGTTAGATTCCTGACCTACTGACACCGTCCAAAATTTGATTAATTTAAAGTCCAGAGTTGGAAGCTCTACTATATCTGGCTTTCCACAAAGGAAAGTGATTGCAAACCTGTCAGTAGATATGAGAATCCTTATAAATCGTTTTGAGCCGGTATCGATCATAGCGTTGCTTTTCAGGATGAAGGGTGTACCGCTTAGAACCAGCTTTATGGCAAGTTTTCCCTCCTCAACCGATACTAACAGATAATCGCTCTGTGGAAGCAGTATTTACAAGTCATTCCACATAAATTTGTTTTTAGCTGTAACAGACGGACACTCTAATTCAGCTCAAACGATTTTAGTGCAATACTAAATTTAGGAAAGCCAAGAGGCAAAATATACATTGGGCAAAAACAAGTTAAAAACACGACATCTAAACAGTAAATGTATTTTCACCAGGATTATAAAAATCAAACCTCGCTGTTTCCTATGTAGAGGATATTCCCAGACCTGGCAACTGTTGCCATGACGAAGGATATGGGGCCCATTGCGGCGTGGGATAGTTTAACTGCTCCCTCGTTCTTCAAACTCAGACTTCTTACCATCTAGGGGAAGTCAATGTTCAATTCAGACCACTGGACTAGTCACACAAGGTCATTGCCATGTTTTTAATTCTCCCGAGCTTTCGTGATTTAAAGTTTATCCTTTCAATGAAAGCTCAACTTTGCATAACTAAACTAACACTCTAATTTCAATATACCGGTTCCGAATTTACGGGGATCCCCAATAACCATTACCTTGTCAGGGCAGCCGTTCTTAACGTTCCTAGCCGTGGCCACGTTGCTCTGTCTCAGGACCACGTTGTTGATTCTCTTGGGGCTCATGCACCCCGTGAAGGGAACTTGGGTGATACCACCTTCCTCAAATACGCTGAACAGTTAGAGGATTAACAACGGACCTAGCTTGAGCAAGAGCCATAAGGAGGCACATAGCTATTGTGTAATAGTTACTCTAGCAGTAGTATATTCAGACCGATCCCTAAAATCATACACTTCCCTGCTTGAGAACAGTACTCAAATTTCAAGATTTTACCTTGGGAATCGGCTCATGACTTTGTTTGGAACCATCCCAAAGTACGTCTTGGAAGGCGAGCGATGTCTCTCAAACTTCAAAGAAGCCTCCACCTTTTCCCTCGAAGTACCCTGCGGAGATTTAACCTGCATCTGAGCGAAGCCGGTACCCGGATTTCTTCTCTGTACGTAAGCGGACAGTTCCCTCGATAACATATCTGTAAAAATATAAACTTACAGCCGTCCAATATTATATTCGTAAAACTTACTTTCTAAAAATAAACGATCATATCAAAACGACCCTATAAAAAATACCACTATTAAAGTAGAATAAAGATGTATTATTAACCAGCAAAGTTATCATCGCCGTCAGGGGTAACTGCGACAGAATCTAAACCACCATCAGCGTTGGTATAATGTAATCTCATGCTACCCTCAAACAGATCCATCGCAAACACTTCCTGATTTCCTTCCTGAGAGTAATCAAAATAAAGGACAAATAATGAAATAGTTTTACCAGAGTCGATACCTACTTATTCGGTACGTCAGGCACTTGTCAAGATAACAAATGTGTTCTCATGGTGTAGGTACTTACATATTCGGAGCCCTCAGCATAGAACATGATGAGACCTTCCTCAGATGCGGTTTTGACGTTTAGAGAGGTGGTTCTAAGATATGGGTTCTGTCCACGCATAGTTTGGAACGCTAGATACGAGTTGTCTCCGTTGAAATAGTAGATATCTTTATCGTCCGATATCATTCGGTCAGCCCTGTGTTGAAGCGGTATTATTATAACTTTATTAGCTTAACCCATTAGGGACGATAGGGTCGTTTACGACTCACCTTTTCTAGAGGCTATAGAGGACAAACCAAAATACTAAACGCCACGAATCTTTCGCACATATGCTCAAAATTTATTGGGCTACATTATTGACTTTCCAGTCGAGACCCAATTAATCACTAACAATTAAATAATTAGACTAATTAGTCGTCATAATTGGAAAATATTTCACTTAACTTCTTGCCTTGATTGGGACATTTAAACTTTATGTAGGCTTATTTTTTTGAGAACAAAATAGTTGCGGGCAACGATTTCCTTGAGACAAATGAAAAGCCCGTGATAATCAAATGTTCACAAACAGAGCTAGACGCTGTTTACTAACTGCGGTCGCATACGACCCACTCGTCCGGGTCGCAAACGACCCATCACGGTTTTTCGGCTTTAATATTTGAAACAAAGACGTTAGGATAAAATAAAAACTGTAGCATAAGTTAAAAACATATGATCAATACTGTGTGACTCTAACTTTTTAGAAATAAAGAATTTGGGTCATTAACGACCCACTCGGCTCACTTGCTTATTACTGCATATGTCCATTTAACTTCTTGAATTCAGCCTAAAACATGACATCATAAGTGCAAACTCGCCTCTCAGCAAGTGATTATCAACATAAACTGCGAAAAATCGGTTAAATGGGTCATTAGCGACCCACTAGGATCACAAAATTTTTTTTTTTTTTTTTTTTTTTTTTTTTTTTTTTTTTTTTCTTTTTTCTTTTTTAAAAAGGCAACCTACTAAAACCAATGGGGCCCTCCCCGGGGTCATTACTCTCGCATACTCTCGAGTCGTCCCAAGGGTGTGAAAGTAGGTCAAGATTTGTTCACACCAAGCCCTATCATCGCTATTAGCTGACCATCTGCCTTCACTGAAGGTATGTTTTTAGAGAGTGGAGGCCGACCGTCAGCTTGGGATGCAGGGCCAAGTGGTAAACAACGTCAAGGCCCCCTTCCACATGGGCCATGTTGGTTTTGGCAGATACTGTGGTAATAAGATATGAAGTGAATGAGTGAAATGAAGTGATTGAAAAGGGTTTAAAAGAGGAAGAGCTTGTAAGGTAGTTTAGGAATGGAAGGAATCAGGGCATGTACTACAAAAAACAGTTAGTAGTACTGTAAGATAGTAACAATAACCATTGATAATAAAATAACAAAGACAGCAATATAAATGGGGTGGACAGTTTGCCCTAATCGGCCAAGATCGACACAATAGAACTTTTGTGGCCTATTTTGTCTCCTGTAAGTGAAAGTTTAAGAAGTTTGATATATCCCTGCCAGATCGGCATGTCCCCTGCCTGAAATCTTTTGCTAATGTACCATTTGGCAACAATATTAAAATAATTTATAATTTGTGAAGTGTGATTACAAACTATAAAATTAATTTTATTGGGGTCGTTGTAATTTCTATCGATATTCCTTTTTATAAAGTCTTCAAGTATTGTGATGAAGCTATTTGTGTGGATACAATGGAGATAGATATGAGGAATTGTTTCTAAGTATGTGTTACACAGGCTACACATGGGAGTATCTGTAACAATTTTCATTTTGTGTCTCATGTATCTACACGTCGTGATCCTCATTAAAAGCTTGTACTGAAATTGAATCAACTTAAAATTTTTAGATACTAAGAAAAATAGGTTGCTAAGAACGACCGCCCAATCTATTGGTTGATTATTTAGGTCAATAACCCATTGACGTAATGGGGACAGCTCGTTTGGGCAGATAGAGTCGTACATTTTATCCCGAATTTTACTTCCCTTCACCTGTCCTGGATCACAAAATTGATAAATGAAATACAATGTTGTGAAACTTTTACAAATACTAGTTTAAAAACATGCTATATCTTGGTCATTACTCCTGTACATTGATTTAACTTCTTAAATCGATCAACTGGGTCAATAACGACACACTCGGGAGTTGAACCACGTCATTAATTATCATGATGTTCCACCATCAAGAAAGACACTCGTAGGTCTTAATTCCACACAAACCACGGTGGCTGACAACTAATCCTCCTGAGATCCAGGGCCAACTAAAGGGCAGTCATCACTCATCAAAAAACTGCGAGAATAACACGACTGCATATGCCTGGAGTTGCGTCCTGACTATGGTGCGTGGGCCATGGAAATCTGTACCGAAAGAACCGTGGCCGTGTCGCAAAAGGAAAGGAGATCGGCCCCCGTTCCTAACTGGGTTGATAATCCCGGGTTCTTCCAAGAATTCAGACTTATCAGCTTCGTCAGGTGTTATTAAATCTAACCTTAAAAAGCATTTGCTATCCCTCCAAAATCGAGATGACCCTAATACATGGTAACTAATCTATATTATATCTCAAACTCTACATCCGGTACGGCTATGCACACATGATATCTCTCTCTGCCATGAAACATGGCTAACCTTTTAAACTGTGATTCAAAACCTAAAGCTAAACTAAAACTCAACTGGGCTCTCCTTTGTCACCAAACTAAACCAATAAGTAATTTAAGATTATTATATTTTTCTATATAAATGTATACTGTAATTAGTATATTGACGTAGTGGATGGTTGAGGGGGTTTCAAGCACAGGTCACTCTCAAATCCTAAAGATAAGCAGTGGCCTTCGGCACTTGAAACCTCTTCAAACCTCCCCTGATTTATTTATTATTGATATTGTTTGATTGTGCCGTAAAAATAAATATTTGTTTTATAAAAAAAAAAAAAAAACTTGCTAGGTAATAGCCATACTGTTGTTGTTGCTTATTAGATTCTGTTACTTTTTTCGTCAATTTCGAATCTTGGTAAACGACCTGCTACAACCGCCTGAGACCCAGGGTTCCACGGTGATCAGATCATGTCACTAAAGAAAAATACCCTAAACAAAGTATACGAGATATCCTGTAACCTTCGGTAAATACTGAAAGAAGAGCGGTCAAATTGCATATTCTAATCCAACATGCCAATCTGTTTGACATTCCTAGAAAGTACGAGAATAACTAAACAACTGCTGCATTCAGATGGCTACATCAACAGCTCTGTGAAGAAGGACAAGGAAAAAGCACCCCCCCCCCCCCCATCTGGCTGGCGGTGCTGCAACCTGCAATCTCTCAGACAACTACTCCGTTTTGGGTAACAACCCCACAACAACGAGGCAGCTTTCAAAACGAAACCAAATATTACGTAATCGGCCGAGAGGGCGAGGGACTTCCAAATGATTACGCTAGTGTAATTTTGACATGATAGCTATGTAGTGGGGTGGGCCGGGGGTAAAAATTGTCCAATAAGTGATTACGTAATATGTGAACGACCCCTAAGAAGTAAAGAAAGGAGGCTGCGAAATGAGTAGATGCAGCCATCTGAAATCTGAATCAAGCAGTTGTATAGTTCTTCTTGGACTTTTTAGGAATCGGGAAAAGATAGGCACGTTGTTTGTTGTCTCACGACATTACGGTCGTGTACTAACAGCTGATAAACTCGCCTACCTATCAATCCAATTCTGCTCATTATTCGTCAGTGATTGGGTGACGTGATCTGCAGATCACCTTGAGACTCCAGATCTCATGAGGGCTAGTGGTCATCCACCCGTGGTTTGCGTGGAATTAAGACCTACGAGTGTCTTTCTTGATGGTGGAACGGCATGATACTGATATGTCTGATAATTAATGACGTGGTTCAACTTCCGAGTGTGTCGTTATTGACCCAGTTGATCGATTTAAGAAGTTAAATCAACGCACAGGAGTAATGACCAAGATATAACATGTTTTTATACTAATATTTGTAAAAGTTTGACAACATTATATTTAATTAATCAATTTTGTGATCCTAGTGGGTCGCTATTGACCCATTTAACCGATTTTTCGCAGTTTATGATGATAATCACTTGCTGAGAGGCAAGTTTGCACTTATGATGTCATGTTTTAGGCTGAATTCAAGAAGTTACATGGACATATGTAGTAATAAGCAAGTGAGCCGAGTGGGTCGTTAATGACCCGAATTCTCTATTTTTTAAAAGTTAGAGTCACACAGTATTAACCTTATATTTTTAACTTATGCTACAGTTTTTATTTTATCCTAACGTCTTTGTTTCAGAAGTTAAAGCCGAAAAACCGTGATGGGTCGTTTGCGACCCGGACGAGTGGGTCGTATGCGACCATAGCTGTATCTTTTAAAGTAAACGAGATACAGATTAGCTTTTTTGGATATCTCATTTTTGCTGTAAAGTGACCTAGTGTGTTAAACGGCATCAAAATCGGCAAACTTTAAAACTCCTCGTCCCTAATGGGTTAAACATTAGTCTAAAGCTTTTTTTTCAACGCTCATGTATAGACTGTTTAATATTTGCAAATTAATATTTTGAACTCTTCTGATAATCCTAATTTTATCCAGCTTTTAAAAGGGACCTAAGTACCAATAACCTAAGTAGTCATATATATATTCTCAAAGTTCAAACATTGGGCATTCCTCCAAGCGTAATGAGATAACGACAGATATATAAAGAAATTTCTAACGCAATTACAATCCAATCCCCTTAATACAATAACTATTTTTAGTGAGATAATTGAATTAGGGGACCTACCAAACACTCTTATTAACACCCATTTTATCTTCTGTCAGCCACTGAGAGATCCTCTCTCCGTTGATCATCACATCAGTTATGCTTCCTGGGTGTGGGAATCAATTTAGCGTTTAAATTAGAGTTTTAGGTGATCATTCGTTCTCTAATTCTTGTGCTGATAAAGAACCATAATCGAATTACATATAATCGGACAATCTTCTCAAATCAATTGATAAAATTATACAATAATTTGAGAATTTGGTATTTGCGGGAGGCGCGCGCACTGATTTCCGACTCAGTGGACAAAAGCAGACCAACATTTTCACACAATAAACATTGTCGCGCGTTCCGCTAACATGTTCAGTAGACCGTTCTTCTATATTGCTAAATCATGGACAGGTGCGCGTAAAATTTTGCCCGCAGTTTCTGGTGCAACTTGCAAGTTTCTGCATGTGCCATAATTTGATGACAGTAGTTATGAGACGGACACATCACAGAGCAATTTAAAATTAATTGAAAAATTAAAGCCGTTTTTACATCTCTGACAAATTTTCGGAAACTCTACTGTCTACTGACAGTCAATTTGCAAATTGCAGCAGTCCAAACTCTTGAACTCGCATCAATTTAAATTCTTATTTCATTCTGATTTAGACTTAAATTCATAATGAAAACAGAAGCGTGTAAAATGCTATTCAGCATATTTATTCTAGCCACTTTTGTACGTGAAATGTACATACTGTATAGTCGGTAACAACACGTTGTGTTAATTGAAAGCTTTCGAACTTCTCAGGATACGAGGGTAAATGTTAGTTACCTCGGATACTGGAATAATTGCATTACTTAATGAACTTGTCAACTAGTTCTTACATGAACTTATGAGAATAAAATGAGGATATTATTCCCTTCCAGTTATGGTTTTAGATTTCATCGTGTTTCTATTTTGACTTCGGATTCACTTTTCTCAAGCCTAATCACGTACATTTAATATTTTATTTGCTTACACTTGCAGAAAATCGTGTAACCGTTTTATTTAACGGATATAAAAGTTTGAATGGCTGAAACATACAGATATTGGATTGAAATAATCACAAATAAAATTTTTATAAAAAGTACCTTTCAAAGATCCCTGGTTTGATTTTCCAACTTCAATATTTACTGCGTTGAAGGAAGACGTTGTGGATGGTTCCTCATTCGAGATGATCGTATCGTTCACTGACAGTTGTATGTACCCTCCGATCCTTTGAGTTAATTAGATTTGCAGATAATGGTTACACTATTCGAAGCATTAAAAGTGCTTCACAATTCACACCTCAGCTCCTGTCAGAGCCAATTAACAGCAATTGAGCAATTATCAATGAGATTATTTCGGTTAGAACACCCAATCAAACCTTTGTAGATGAACTTTGGTCCAAGAATCTTTAGGGACGATCAAGTTATCTTGAATTAAGTATGTTTCACTGTTATCTATATTCATGTTACACACAACGTTTCCATTAAATAGTCCCATCTCTATGTAATCAGCCTGAGGATAAATACCGAACATTAGTCCTAAATACCACAATCATTGGATAGATCAACAAAAACAAAACATTTGGCACAATCTTGATTCAAATGCCTATTTCAAATGCTACAGGTCACAGGAAATATTGTATATCATGTTCAATGTTCAATGGTTTGAAATGCAACGAACCCCAATAGCCTGTCGCTTGCGTCTAGCGTTATTATCAGGAGGTCCAATATACACAATCCCACCACTGGCATCGTCCTCTTCAGGTTTAATAGTAGCTTTAACAGACAGATACGCAGTGCGTTCCAAAGTGGCGCTGTATCTAGCGTAGGACTCCTCACCGGTAAAGCGCATGGGAATGAGGATGGTTTCAACACTGCGCTTCGCTTTCTCTATCTTATCCCACAGGGATCTTAACTTGTAGTCTGGGATTAAAATTTGAGAAAGGAATACACGGGTAAATGTTAGTTAGGATATTTAGATTTAAGAATGTTAGAACGTTTAAGGGGACATATACAAAAAGCTTTTATGTTCTGAACAGGCTGTAACTTCATATTAAGAAAGTATACATTAAAACAATAAGATTTGATACATTAAAAATTATTTTTGAGGAACCACACTTTCGAAAAAATAAATATTTTCTTTTTCGAAAATTTTGAAAATTTTGAGAAGTCTGTCACTGTTATACCGATATTTCAGTCGTTTTTAACTTTTTTTGGCTGATTTTTTTCCTGAACATTATTTGCAATCCGTACAAGAAGCCCTTCAAAGGATTTCATAATTAAAATATAGATGACGAAGTTACAGACCAAACAAGGTCGAGAGAAGCAAAATTGAAATTTTTGTAAAAATCAAAGTTGTATATTTTACCATTCACCCAGGTCATAAGATATCGCTTTAAAAATTCTTGTGAGTGTAGCTGATGATCATATCAAACTTTTTGGAACAGGATTTCTCTCAGTTTTGAGTTTTAAGGTATGAAATGTGGCCTAAACGACTTAATAAAATTCATCATAAAAAAGGGCCAAACATGGCAGATTTAAGGCTTAAAATGCCTATAACACAAAAAGTATCAGTTTTTTGAAATAATTTTTACAGGATCGTAAGACGAATCTTTTAGTACCAAATTTATAATAGTTAAAGACACAAAATTTATTTTTAAATGTGTACAATTTGTACAAAATTTATACAAGGGGGGACCCTTGTGTTCGAGCTGGAAAATTATTAAGACAATTTGTCTTCTAAAATCACCTATTTGGTACTAAAAGATTCCTCTTCTCAAGCTGATTACGATTCTGTAAAAATTATTTCAAAAAAACTGATATTTTTTGAGTTATAGGCATTTTAAGCCTTAAATCTGCCATGTTTGGCCCTTTTTTATGATGAATTTTATTAAGTCGTTTAGGCCACATTTCATACCTTAAAACTCAAAACTGAGAGAAATCCTGTTCCAAAAAGTTGGATATGATCATCAGCTACACTCACAAGAATTTTTAAAGCGATATCTTATGACCTGGGTGAATGGTAAAATATACAACTTTGATTTTTACAAAAATTTCAATTTTGCTTCTCTCGACCTTGTTTGGTCTGTAACTTCGTCATCTATATTTTAATTATGAAATCCTTTGAAGGGCTTCTTGTACGGATTGCAAATAATGTTCAGGAAAAAAATCAGCCAAAAAAAGTTAAAAACGACTGAAATATCGGTATAACAGTGACAGACTTCTCAAAATTTTCAAAATTTTCGAAAAAGAAAATATTTATTTTTTCGAAAGTGCGGTTCCTCAAAAATAATTTTTAATGTATCAAATCTTATTGTTTTAATGTATACTTTCTTAATATGAAGTTACAGCCTTTTCAGAACATAAAAACTTTTTGTATATGTCCCCTTAATGTTCGAATGCTAAATTGTTTTTGCAGACACAATTTATTCGGTGTGAATTTGAAGTCAAGCGGTTTATAGTGTGCTTACTGTTTCTAGTGTGTTTATAGTGTGTTTACTGTTCATAGTGTGTTTACTGTTTATAGTTTGTTTATAGTGTTTATAGTTTGTTTATAGTGTTTATGTTTATAGTGTGTTTATAGTGTGTTTATAGTGTGTTTACTGTTTATAGTATGTTTATAGTGTGTTTACAGTGTGTTTACAGTTTATAGTGTGTTTATAGTGTGTTTACTGTTTATAGTGTGTTTATAGTGTGTTTACAGTGTGTTTACTGTTTATAGTTTGTTTATAGTGTTTATGTTTATAGTGTGTTTATAGTGTGTTTACAGTTTATAGTGTGTTTATAGTTACCCACCTATTTCTCTACTCTTCTCTATTACAATCCTCTTCTGACCGTCAGCTGTTTCCGTATCGTTTATAAGTCCTGGGAGCTCATCGCTCACTCCATACAGCTCCGGTGGTTTCTAGACGGGTTACAGTAAAAATTAAGATATAAATACAAATCAATACATTTATTGAGGACAATACAGAAGGAATATATAACATAGTTCGAGGAGTCCCAATCCTCCTTGCGTTTTTCTTGTAGCTAGTACAGAAATTAACAGTAAATGTATCTTGTTGTGAAAGATAAAGCAGCAACCGTTAGTAAACACTCGGGATCTTCGTTAGTTGAATACTGTAGGAATCTATGAGTATATCGTCCTATGAAGCTTAACAGTTACTCTATCAACTAGTGATGGATTCGAAAAAGGGAGAACTTGTTGAAAGCCTCCTTATTTATAAATTATCTTGCATATCTTTCACTTAAATACATATTTGTGCAACATCTGGAAAGAAGTATTTTATGAGCACAGTTCTGTCGCTATTGTTTTGAACTGATGTAAGATAGTATGAAGAAGGATGCTGATAAAATCAATTTCAAACTCGAAATTGCAAACTCAGGAGATTATTTCACACAAATTTGGTTCACTCTCACTCACTAATTTACTCATCCGTTTCCAGGATTCCCACTTCCGTCGATACGAACCCTGCAGGCGACCCTTCTTACGTATTTGAAAAAAAATAGAGCTTAAACTCCGACAACACAGTTAACTCAGCTTACAGCTTTACAGTCCAGCAGCAAGAGTACAAAAATAAAACAGCGACTTGACACAAAACAAATCTAAACAAAATAAAAATCCGGCGATGTTTCCACACCAAAAGTTCCAAACTCCAGAGCTATCACTCGCAATCGTACCCAGCCGCCACCCAGTACACACCACACTGATTCTTCTCTACCTCCTCAGCCGTAACATCGTCCACCGTGTACAATGCAAACCTATCGCTCCCAATATCTTTACTAACATGCACTGCCGGACACTTCCAACCCTGAGCTGACACGGTAATAACCGGTGCCGAGGCAAAGTTACACCCACCCATGTCGACATCTCTTCCTGCCTTGCCCTTGTTAACCCAGGAGTCAAACCATTTTCCATCCTCAGAGCGGGCTATTCCCGAGCAGATCATAGCACAGGGTTCAGGGTGGAGCTCTCTGTTTGGGGTGTCCAAGATCTTGACTTTGGTTTGGAGAGTTGTTAGAACCAGAGCTAGGGTTACTGCGAGGTATCGGAGATACATTGTGTTGTATGTGGGAGGTGCAGGAGCTCAGGAGGTGTAAAATGTAAATATCAAGTGAGGCTCTGGAAGACTAGCGTTTTTCTAAAGATATTATTTTGTTCCCTTCTCCTTTTATAAATTGTCTTTAGATTTACTGACATAATTTACAGACTTTTGTCAGCAAAATTAGGGAGTGGTCTTTGTCAAAATAATAATTTTGATGTCAAAATTTGGTCGTAGTAGCTCATAATAATGCTTTGTGGTGTCTTGTACCGCCTACCCAGCTTCAACAGATGGTCAAATGTTGTAATTCGCAAAAATATGTAATAACTACACCAACTATTCCTGGTCTAAGGTCCACTAGACGGTACCGTCTAGTGGACCTTAGACCAGGCATGGGCGCCGCCGGTCATACGCCGCCGCCGCCGTGAAATAACCCACGCAAGCACGACTGACGGTTACACATTTTAACATCAATTCAAATACCCTGTGACTGGTCAATAAGCTGTAAATTTCAAATAGCTGAATGCTGAGTCTTTTTAACAGTAATTACTGGTTGGAAAATGGATATCATAAATGTTGCACTGAACAACATATTTAATATTAGTTAGGCTACTACTGTAGAGATACATAAGTGAACTACTCTAAACGTCAGTCCTCGTATCGTCCCTAAGCTCAAAATTTCCATAAACAAAATTGAGCTATGGTTCGGGAAAAATTTTTCCACGCCGGTCAAAACGCCGCCGACCAAAATATGGCTCCACGCCGCCTATGCGTTTTACGGCGGCGCCCATGTCTGCCTTAGACTCAGCTCCTCTAAAAAGGACTGCTTATTAATCACGAGGTATTTACATTTTACAACGATATCACGTACCTCAATGTCGTCTATTCTGGTTTGCAGAGGGTCAGGGTTGACCATGTCCGTATTGGGCTCGGGAGGTTCCTCAACATCCCAACCTGGTATCTGAGGGAAGATAACACCTTGAAGCCTCTCTTTGTCCGCCTCGTTTGCTGCGTCTAGATCACCTATTGCATCACGTTGTACCGGCTCCCCCGATACTGAGGAAGGCAAACAAGTTACAATACAGTTGGTTTAGATTTTAGGTATATGATGGTTGATAAATGAAGGAGAGCTCTCTTGCAAGTAAGAAAATTCCACGCAATGATTATTGAAACTGAAACTTACTTATATCGTTTAACTTTGGTTCAACATCTGCCTTCCTGATATCCAGGTCACTAAGTGCGAGCTCTTTATCCTGCACTCCTGATCCAAATTCATCAACCTGAAGATACGAAGGTAACAAGAACAAACCCTTAAATTTTCTAATTTTCCAGATCGCAGATGGCGAATACATTAGTTCTAGCAACTCCTAGTCCTCTCGAAGTATAAAATAGGTCAGCTATACTACTGTACCTTTTCGGTTGCATTTGCAGCAGCTTCTTCTGCAGCGGCAACTCTCCTCCTTAGCTCCTCCAAATCTTTCTCAGTTTGAACCATCTGTGTGACAGATAAATTGTTACATCATAGATAATAAATATCAGTTGAGACTCGGAATTAGATAACATGATGAAATATGTTTACCAAAAAGAACATATTATACCGATGCTAACTTATGTCTTATCTTTTCAAAGATCGTCCACAACATTCTAGAAAACTACTAACCTCTTTGACAAGTGCAGGCCCAGGGTCGTCAGAGGAAACATTCCTGATATCCTGGAGACCGGAACAGTTGAATTCTTTCGGTTTCACAAGCGGTGTTAACTCTGTTAGAGCTTCTTGTTGGCCTGAACACCGTAATTATTAGAAAACATAAATCAGCTAACTTACTACCAGCTGGACAAAATAGTATCCATGAAAAACATTAAATTTCTCAAAAGTATTTGATTACGCGGCGGAATCGTGAACAAACATTTCTACCGACCTTCGACTAGTTCCTGAAGTGGTACCAAATCAAGCATCTCAATCTCATCCAGTCCTTGCTCTGTAGCGTTGTTATTTTCCTCTATGACAGGAACTTCAGCGGTCGAGTTTGCTATTAACTCTTCCACGTCGTCCTCGATATCCTTTGCAGCTTTCTCCAGCATCTAGTAATTGCAGAAACCAACATTAGTCAGGCAATAAGTTTACCAATCCAGGAAGGTAACACTACTTATTTTTGCTTAGTTACTCAAACAACCAATTTAGATAATATGTGTATAATATGTTAATTATTAATTAATACCTCAATTCCCCCGACTTTCAGTTCGATCAAATCCACAGCTTGAGTTTGATTAGCCAAGTCTAAGACAACGTCCTCAATTTCATCTTCGATAAATTCTACTCTTTCAGGTAGAGGATCCAGAGTAGGTATTGTCAGGTTAGCCGGAACCGCAACGGTGACTTCATCACTGGGGATTGAGAAATGCATGATACTATCAGGCTGTTACAAATCAACGACGCTAATATTTTGGTGATTTAGTGCAGATATTGATAACAATTATGACCCATTCGGCCATATCATAATTATTGATCAAAAACCAGAAAATATTTGCCATCATACTTGATCGTTTTAGCCTTATCCTTAGCATTCTCAGCCTCTTTATGTTTCGGTTCTGGATCCCATTTTTCTATCTCCTGTATCGCCTCCTCCGCTTCAGCGATTGCTTGCCCGCTATCTACCACGTCCGGGCTGACGTTGAAGTTGTCCAAGTTGTCTATCAGATCTAAATTAAGTATTGGTTATTGCAAATTCTCTGGTCTTCTGAACTCTGAATAAGTTAAACATAAAAAGGAATTGGAAAGTTCATATTACGACCCCATTAGATATTTTGTTCCACACAAATACAGTAAACCCACCCTTGAGTTCATCCTCCAAAGCTCCCATCTCATCAGGAACATCACGTGTGGCTCTCTTCGTATCACCAGCATCAGCGTACGCTTCTTGACTTCGAGGAGTCAGCGCGTCTGCTCTTTTTTCATTATCTTTTTCAGCCTTCTGGGCTGCGTCTAGCTCTGCAAGCAGATCTTCCAAGTTTTCGGGAACAGGTATTGCGTCCTGGGGAGGATATCGCACTTAAAATAGTATCTTTGAAACAGAAAAGTAGAGAGATATCGTGTTAATCAATAGCTACATCGTATTTATTGCAATGTAATGTTTATAATCTTATAACGGGCTCTTTGACGGCAAAAAGGATTAAAATACTACAATAATTCCTTTATAATGTAATCAGCATATTATCATATAGATAGTTCCAACATTTATTGCACATCCGATATCTTTATTTTCATCCAGGTCGTCAAATGTGTCAATATATTTCCAACTTTTTAATTTTAAAACATTCTAGGCAATATAAACGAAAGAAAAATATTATTAAGACCCAAGCTAGACGGCACGTAACGCGTCACATAATCGATTACAAGATGGAGTCTTTGATATGGCTAGACGGCATTTACTGAGTACGTGATGCGGTCGGCATCCTCGCTAGACGGCACGTACCGCCTCTAGTGATCGATTATGTGACGCGTTACGTGCCGTATAGTATTAGTGCCGTGTTAAGGACAATAAAAGGTGTTGCCACTTGCCAAGACGTGAAGAGATGGATATTGGATAAATGGGTCCATTCAAGGCATTCACTGGCATGTTTACAGTTTATTTGTCACATTTTACTTATTGCATTTGGAAACAAGATGACATTCGAAACATGTTTTCCTCACCTCGACGTCTTTTGCCCTGTCCTTTATACTGTCCATTTTTTGGGCAAAGTCCGACATCAGGGCACTTGTTTTGCCTGCATCCAGTGTGTTGTTCACATCGATTAATCTTTCTAGCAGCTTTAACGGACAATCTCCACACACTGAAAATTTACTTAATTGAATGAACTATCGCATTTAAAGAAATAGTGACCGTACCGACTAATTCAAATTTTTCCATAAAAAGTAGGGGTCTGGCATTCGTCCTAATATTTTGACTTAGGAATCACGATGACAAATAAGAAAATAAGACGTGACCCGGCCCTGGAGGATAAATTGAATGAATAGGAGAATTGATTGAATAAGGTAGTTTTACAATCGCCTAATCGACTATTGTACGGCGGATTTTGCTCGTAAAACTAGTAACATCGACGTTTCAAGATTATCATGGTAGTATCTAAGACATGTAAAAAATTATATCTAAAATTGACAAATTTTGGTATAAATGTAGGTACCCCAATTCGGGATAAGGAAAATAGGACGGTAAATCAGAGTTTAACAGTACAAATATCAAGTCAGCCTCTTACTGTAACATTTGTCAGGACCACACATTCTAACTTTTATAAACTCAGGAGGTGCGAAGTTCAGCGCAGCAGGTGCCTCTGAAGAAGCAGCTACAGAGTGGTCAAATGCTGGTGCTTGAACTTTAAGACTGTCATCTACAGAAGGTTTTGCTGCTGATAGGCCCAGCATTATCTTCAGGAAGACGTCCATCCTCCCGCTGCTACAATTATTGAATGTATCTTATCATGACGTGTAATGTGAGAATGTAAAAATAGCAGGCATAGCGAGAATGCACTGCATAGTTTTTGAGAAAAATATCCCGAAACGATTGCGGACTGCGGAGTATAGAATTACGAATAATATCACGACACAACGTAGACAAGTCTTAAAATATCTTAAATATCTTAAAATATCCATTCAAACGGAGCTCAGACAAAGTTCAGCCAAACGTCGGCATTTGAGTATGGTCATACAGCAGTAGAGGCCTGCAAAGGACGTGAAAAGCGATTAAAACATCACAATGCCGACAAAAGACCACTACGGGAGTTATACTAACACAAACTCAAGTAGAGCTCCAGATCTAGGGCTCACATTACTGCAGTGTCTACAGACAGTGGGTAGTGACCAGGGTGGGTAGTGACCAGGCTGGGTAGTGACCAGGCTGGGTAGTGACCAGGCTGGGTAGCGATCTGGACACACCCCAGCATTCGGCACCCTGCACAACAAATAACATGCAACCCTGACTTTCACATTTGTGGCATACCGGAGATGCCAGAGTGTGACCACATTGGCACTCTCACACTAATTTCAGATCAATCATAACCAAATATAAAAAGCTTCCTAGTTAGATAATCAGAGCAAAACAAGGGGATACAAATTGAAAAGGAATTGCAGTTGCGAGTACAAGGTTCCAGGCACACCCGGGCCCCGTGTAGGTATGTATTGTAAGTGAATTTAGTGATTAGTATGTAAAGTCAACGATTTGGGGAACAAGGGTAAGAAAATATGATAGAAAGGTTAAGGGGGTTTGTTGGGTTTTAGTATCTGCAAAACAGCGAGGCAGGTGGCGGGAATGCTCTGATTTGATTGGCGGAGAGGGTTGCAGTCTGTAATCTGATTGGTCGGTGTTAACCTAGACAGCAAAATGCGAATCAAAGTAGACCGGTTCCACTGTTGGAGGTCTAAAAACCACTTTATAAACCGTGATTAGGAGATACGGAGCAGGACTAATTGCATCGCCCCCCCCCCCCCCACCAGAGGGGGATAGTGGATATTCAGCCACTCTTAGCGTGTACATTCGGAGAACATGCATGTCTACAGGCTGGAATAAGACAGCATGGTAGAAACACGGTAATAATAATAACTCGATAAGGTGCAGTATGCAGATGTACTTAAATGATGCAAACTCCGAGATTAGAACAAGCAAGCTGCGGCAAAGTTCAGCAAATCAAATTGTTAAAGTTAGAGTGAAAATAATTAACAAAAGTAATCTTGAAGCCTCTGAAACAGTATCGTATCATTTACATGTTTCAAGAAAGCCACTCCAGTTAACGTGAAAGTGCTTAATAAATAGGGTTATTATGAAAATCCAGTTAGATGCTCTCCAATAATCTCTACACACAGAACATGTTATCCCATTACTAAAGCATCTCGAAGGGGAGTCAAATTTCGTATGAAGTTCAAGTTTCACTCTGAGAGGTTAAAGTAATCACAAAGGTTATCAATATTAAGAGGCTGTCGAATTCTATACCGCGTAAACCTATCCAGTGCTTGGTCTGACTACTAGTATGAATAAAAGCTAACCATACGCGCCCGAGCTCATACAAGATACAGGGTAATACTCGGAGCAATACGAAATATCTGGTGGGGTAGCGTGATAATGATACGAACCTATTACATGTTAAAAAACAATTTTAACAATCTAACAAATGATTATTTTCGTAATTTTGGCTATCAATTTGTACCCACCGCTACAAGAGCCGTCCTCGTTAACCACGTGTGCCTCTGAACATTCCATACACTTGTCACCATAGTAACCATCTTTGCACGTGCACATTCCATCTTCATCGCAGGCTGGTCCTTCTGAGCCTGTCTCCGAGCATCCACATTCCTGAGTGAGATAAAATGTCAAAATATTGACAGAAACATTGTATGTCCAGAGTTTTTTGACAGGTCAATCAAAAGTTCATTATACCTGATATACCTAATCAACGATGTAAAATAATGAACATGCACCTACTGACTCAAGCAACAATACTAACCAAGCAATTTCCGAAGCGTTCGTAGTAACCAACATCACACTCCTCACACGTTCTACCTCCGTACCCAGTCACACAATCACACTGTCCTGTCCTCGTATCACACTCTTGGGACGTGCTGCTCAGCACAAAACAACCACATGGTCTACATTTCCCTCGAGATACGTATCTTCCCGCCTGAGTGGGAAAGAGGGGTTTAGTAATACGAAAACTAAGAAAATACAGTGGTATGTTGGAGAATTTTTCTCGATATTAATGGTTGGGGAATGAAGTATTCGAAGAACTCTACTTCGACTAGTAGCGATTTCCTGAGTCAGACTAAATACGTAAGGGTCGCCACTTGCCAACAAAGAGCTCAGCGATTAACATTATAGTGAAACACAATATAAAGATGAGATACTGGAACTAACGTTACATTGATCACACTTGTCTCCCCCGATCCCTCCTTTGCACCTACAACTCCCACTCTGATCACACTGCTCTGATAATGAACCCTCCATAAAACACTCGCACGGCGTGCACGTTCCATTATTTCTTGCATCACCATAGTAATTATCCGCGCATTCTTCACAAAACCGACCGTCAGTAGAGTCTTTGCAAATGTTACACCTGAAAAATATCAGTAATATTTATGCTTTACTTATTAGATCATCCGTAAATATCTGTACATTCAACTAGTGAGTTAGTTACCGATTTAGTGTTTATTTGTTTCTATATTTAGATTAACAAAAATGAGATGTGATATAATATGTGAAGATGTGATATACCGTATTTAACCGGCGCCCAGTAGTCATGATTAATTATTGAGCCATAAATCGAAAACGAAATTACATTTAATGCATTTCATGACCTAGTATAGATTAGATTACCGAATTAATTTTGGAATCAAACCAAATATAAAAACATTTTTACCTGCCGGTATCGGAATCACAAGCGTCTGACTGTGTTAGATTGAGATTATCATTGCAAGGGCATTGTGTACACCCAGTATTAGATTCAGGGTCACCATGGTAACCGTTATCACACCTGAACAGTATCAGAACTAATTACAGAAACCCAGACTTACTAACCAGGGAAACGCAGGTTCTGCACTTCACAAAATCTGATAACACTGATAATAATAGTTTCGTGCAATTTTCCGTAAAAATGTGATTATGGTAAAACCGCCTAAAACGGTATGCAGTCTAGTTCGCAGATTTTAATCTTCAACCTCCAGAGAGGGTTAGGCATGTTTCAGAGAGGGTTAGGAATGTTTCAGAGAGGGTTAGGCATGTTTCAGAGAGGGTTAGGCATGTTTCAGAGTAACTGAATCTCCTAAAAACACCAAATCTCAAATTAAACAGGCACACCCTCGTTTGTTAAGGGCACACCCTCGTTTGTTAGATAAAACTTACTGTTCGCAGGATATTCCAGTGTACCCCACCTCACAGATCGAACAGACTTTCTCACCTTCAACCTCCTCACAGGACTGAGAGCTGAGAACATGTTTTAGCTAATTAGTTAATTAGTTAAGTAATTAATCATATTATTGTTTAATTGGTGAACTATTGTTGGTTAGTTGATTATTTAAGTTGACTGGTTAAGAAAATCAGTCAATTAACAATATATTGTGGCAATAAGAGTTCATAACATTTTCTCGGTAATCAACCATTATGCCACAATAATACCCCACGTTATTAGATAATAATATCAAGAATATAAATGATAAAAGCACCCCTGTGAGTGGCATGATATCTTACCTAGAGGTTTGTCCATTTCCAGAGCAAGCACAAGGTTCACACTGTTCAGTAACCGAGCTGTAGTAGTAGCCAGCCACACACACTTCGCACTGGTCTCCAGTACTGTTATTTTCACAGTCCTGGTAAAAGCATTCCCTCGTTGTTAAGAACTGCGTTTTTCTCTATTTTATTACAACCCCGCTTAATATTGGCTAATTTGACGATCAGTGGGAGAAAGAGTCCTGTTCTAGGACTATTATGATACCATTGTATTCAAAGATCACCCTTCCCTTCAACTTGAAGCCGTCGTAATAACCTCAAATTAGTTTAGTAATTATCCAATATCTGGGAGGGTTAGAAAGTAAAAACCCGACTCACCAAACATATGCCCTGCTCATCACAAAGCTCACTATTCCCATTACACTGACACGGTCTATCACATAACCCTGTCTCAGGTGAGCGAGAGAAGCCAGTAGCACACTGTTCACACTGTTCACCCGTGTAACCTCTTCCACACTCACATACGGGGTAGTAGTGGGGCTCTGCTGAGGTTGGGGTGGCGGAGAGGTAGCCAAGCTCTATGTTATCTATCCTGGGATATTATGTTGTTGTGTTTTCTTTAATTTCAGTGTGTAAAAAGGGTGATTGCAAACCAAAGCAAAACGGGGAGATAATATGAAAACATCGAGACTTTCTTTTTTCAGACTTACATCGCGACGAGTTGTCTATCGAACATCTTGGTGTTAATCCTAATCTCAGTTAGATTCCTCAGTATGTTCTGAATCTCTTCGTTGGAGGGTTGAGTGTCTTCTCCCTCTAATCGCCACTGGGAGGTGGAGTGTAGAGGAATGTCCAGGTTCAGGGGAACTTCCACTTTCACTCTTTTAGGCTTGTTAGAGGTGTGGTTCACTGCGTATCTGTAACTTATAGTCATATTGTTTTGTCCCTGAAACAAGTATAAAGTTTAAGTTTACTGTCCGGTAACCGGTTGTTGACAGAAAAAAGCAGAATCATTACAGTATAGTAATTTAGAAACTTCCAGATTATGTGGCCACATGAGCTGTATAATTTATTTCGAGTTCGATGCACAATTTTGTGAAGCCTGCTATGTTTTCAGCTAAATTATTTTCAAAATTTCGATTCCAGGCTAAATTTTCACCTTGAAGAATGTCTCCGAAACGATCTCCGCATTCCCACCCACAGTCAGATCCACATCGTAACTAAACAACTGATTCTCACTAGATCTCTTGTCTCCAACAAACCGGCTGGGTAGCACGAGGTAGGTGTACTCATCACCATGGGTTAGATCCACCATGAGGACGTGGGAGTCACCTTCATACTGGATAGTGGTTAGTCTCCCAGCTGGAGACTGAGCACCAGTGGAGTCCACCAGACTGTAATCAGAGACTCCATGAGTGAAATCTTCCAGTTCCTGAAATTATTATTATTATACTATTTTTTTAAATAACTATATTTTGTCATTGTCGATGTAGTTGGACTTAATTAGGGCCGTGCTGATGATTATAGCTTTTAAGGCATAATTTAAAACAATTATGAGCAATTAAATGAGAAAAAATAGTGCAGCTGGTTTATAACGTTAGCTTGAGCCATCCAACGGTCACATTATTCTTCCGGATTTAATAAAAGTATAACATTATAGGGCAATGGTTATTATAATGGTTGTTGCAGGTTTTTGCTGTTTTCAATTACATACCTATTATTTTATCGTTATAATAACTTCTAGAAAACATTTGTTTTGTATTGCTGCAGAGAGCAGATCACAAAAAGCCATCGTATGCGGCACCGACTGCGGCACCGACTGCAGCACCGACTGCAGCACTGAGTGCGGCACCGACTGCAGCACCGAGTGCCAGGACCCACTTGTATCCCAGTTTAACTGGTGACGTGATTTCATTGTACAATTTCGCTGATTTTTCCTGGAAGCAAGGCCAGCTGCTGAAACTGCAGATTTAGACAGTGTATTTTTTTATGAGGACCGTTATTCTTGAAAAGAAAATCCGTGAAACATACCATGAATAGTAAATACCCAAAATGTTTTTTTGGATGTCCATGGTGCCGGAGTTTTGATGAGCTCAAAACTTATCATTTTATATTGATCAGAAATGTTGTTGTTCCTGAGCTTATTTGGGACTGTGATGAATCTCTCCGAGGCCGAGGGTAAATATATTTACAGCATAAATGTCTAGGCATGAGATAAATGAGATAAATATTGAGGTATTTCAAAGAAGGACGCACAATTAAATGAAAGACTCTTACATTATTATCAAAGAACTATTTCAGGAGAAAATATGTTGACCATTGTAAGTGCAGAGATGAAGAACCAGTTTGGAACATACTCTCCCTCAAATCTTATGGATGGAGATCTAAACAATTTCGCACACACATTAGAAGCTGAAGACGGTATGTGGATGCGCGTTAATCTGGAGACACAGTCATTTGTTACTAAAGTGATCGTCTACAACAGAAAAAGCAGTTGCTGTAAAGATAGGATAGTTGGAGCTTCAGTTTTCATAAAGACAGGAGATAGTTTTGTTAAAGATTGTGGTAAGATCAGCAGTGTAAAAACTTCTTACAATTTTAACTGTGAAGGAGACGGAAATGTTATTGAGATAAGTCAGGAGGGAACGGTAGCACCATGGAACATTGCTGAGATTACTGTCTACGGCACCACGGCAAAGATTCCTTCTCCAGGTTTGGATCTATAGATGCCCAATATTTTTCAGGGTGGGAGTGGGAGCACTTTTTTACGCCGACTATCTTTTAAGCCATTACATTTCTTAGGACAAAGACAAATGGTCGCGGTGTCGTAATAAAACTTAGAACACCAATAATAACCATAACAGACTGGCATAATGAACAGTGCAGGGCAGCGTTCCAATAATTAAAAAAATTTGAAATTTAACGAATGGACCAATCTGCCAAAGTAGGCTAGAACATTCACTCCTGAACGAAGATATCAATCACAGCAAGAGTCTGGAAGAATAATAAAGTAATAAAATATTTAACCAGTGGACAATACCCATTGGTATTTTTTATCTTGGACTAGTAGGGGGAAGCCAAGGGGTATTTTGGAATACTTTGGGGTATTATAGAGGATTCTAGGTCATAGCCCAGACAAGGCTGGTCGGTCGGAGGTCGGTCGGAATTCGGTCGGAGGTCGGTCGGCGGTAGGTGAACGCCGGTAGGAGGTTGGTCGGAGATTGGTCGGAGGTTGGTCGGAGGTCGATCGGGCGCCGGTCGGGCGCCGGTCGGGCGCCGGTAGGGCGTCGGTCGAGCGCCGGTCGGAGGTCGGTCGGGCGCCGGTCGGAGGTCGGTCGGAGGTCGGTCGTAGATCGGTCGGAGGTCGGTCAGCGACTTTGAGGAGGAATATTTGTGTTTTTCCAGCGATAAATTTTTTCGCATCACCGCTTATCATAAGCATCTCGACTATAGCACCTGTATTCAGACTACTAAATCAGTCGGAATATTCTACGTTTGAACTCGAAACAGACATGAACTGAAATTGTTCAATTTTTCGGACTATATATCCTTCCCTGGTCTTATGCATCGTTTAGTGGAGTTACTAAGAGTGTAATCCGCTCCGTCCCAGATACGTATAGAACGATTAGATCTGTACAATCGTACTGAAGTGACAACGGCACGGTTCATAGCTTATTTTTAGGACTTTTAACTGTCACAGAATAGCTTTATCGGGTTGCTGTATTGCTGTAGTAAGAGGAAGGGTCGTCACATTATTGTTAATTCCTTAGTTGTAGTGAACGTATGGAACTACAAAATGCTAAGTTCACCACAACCAAGGTTACTAGCGCCGCCGACTACCATGAGCCTTAGTCCTTTTTCAGCTCTGTCTGCAGACAAAATTACAAAAACCTTTCAGGCAAATTTGAAAAAGACGTGCCACTAAATGTGCTAAAAGACGTGCCACTAAACGTGCTTAAAGACGTGCCACTAAACGCGCGCCACTAAACGCGCTAAGTTTTGAAGTAAATAAAAAAGACCTGCTGACAGATTTTGCCGATGACAATATGATAAGACGAGAACACAGAGTCTAATGACATGTTTGTCGTGTTGGAAATCTTCTAATTGACCAAAGAACTGCTTTAAATGTGTTATTTAAACTGATGATTTAAAGATTACGGAGGTTAAGTGCCCAGTATGAATCATTTATAATAGTTATGAGTGCACCACAGACCACTCTTACAGAGAAAGCAAGTATCCCTTACATGCCCACTTAAGAATAAGAGTCTTAAGTTTGCAAATACCACATCTCCCCAGGACCCTACGGCCTACATTAGAAACACTTACTAGAGGATTCCATCACTGTATCTCGACAAACACCCCTACATCGCCATTTGAAATGTGTATGACGTTTCACAGTATGATTTGATACTGTATATATCAACATATTGTGATCCTTGTTTGAGAGAGAATATGGGTCAAAAGATCGCAAATATTTTTTGAGACTCTGCCTAATAACAAAAGGCTGAAGGTTTATCAAAACGACTACACTTCAATTGCATTCTGTCCAATTTGCCAAAAATAACACGATGATCTCGGGTAGATCCAACTAAATTGCCCTATTCGAATCACGACATGTTTTCCAGTGCAATGTTTAATGCATTTTAATCTAATATTGCTCGTTATCTTTAATTAAGAATCGCTTGTAACTGAATTGTCGGAAATTTACAATTGGCACTGAGTCTTTGCATGGACTGTTTCCAAATGTTATATTATGTAATTGTATATAATTGCTTTGCTAGAATAAAACATGAAGATACACTGGGCATATTTTAAACAAAATATGGGCAATAGTGCATACAGTTTACTTGTCCAGGTTTAGAATCTACTAAATGGTATAATCAAAATTTGTATTTTCCAAAAGTAAGATATTATAGAATTAAATGTGCCTTGCCCAACACCTTCCTTTTGTCAATTGTAATTTCCTCTTAAATTAGCTTCTCTATTTCTTTACTCTCTATAAATAATTCTATCCCTGTGATTGCCGTTTTCTGACATAATGTTGCCATGGGGTGGCAAGTCCCCATACATCGTGGTCCGGTAGTTTCATTGCGTCCTAATATGTGCTTAAAGACAATTTTTGAAATTCTGAATTCTTAAACCAAAATTTATTTTTTTGCGTCAAGACTCTAGAAATATCTCTGACAGTCTTCAGAAACCATTAGAACTAATCGCCGGCACCCAGAAACCTCCTTTTGGAACCACTTAAAATGCTACAATTTGTCAAAAATATGTCAAATTTTTCAGTGGTCTTTAAGTACTTTTGTCATAAAACGGCAGAAGATGGCATGCAGCGTCCATACTCCATACTCCACATTTCCTGTCAATCAGCTCAACGCCTACCATTTTATTTATGTTAAAGTAATTAAAATTGTACCTACATGATGATCAACTAATTCGATAATTATAAAATTACCTGGATTATAGTTCATAGAAGATAGTCTGAGCAGTCGTCAAGCGAGTGGAGGAATGGCCCTGCCACTATTTTCATTTTAATAAAGTTATAACAGGTAGAGGTAGACCTTTTGTAGCTTTATAGTGAAGCTACTTCAGGCTCACAAAAAGAAATTACCGTCTAAGCTTCTAAGCAGCGTCTAATTGGTGACTTTGACTATGATAACCGTTTAAAACTCTATCATCTGAATGGAAAGTTTAAATTATCTTCCAGGTAAATTATAAACGCTTGAAATGGAGTAATTTCACTTAAAAATATTACTGTAATAAAAAGATATAGTTTCATCTCATGACCCACTAGACTACCACGTGCAGTTCAAGGTATAGTGTTCACCCTCAGCTACAGTTATAATTGTTTAATACTTGATTAAACGGTAGGGCGGCTATTGATCATGTTGGTAATTTGGGCTCCGGTGGACCTCTATTGGACAATCCACTAAACCATGCATAAGACCAGGGAAGGATATATAGTCCAAAAAATTTAACAATTTCAGTTCATGTCTGTTCCGAGTTCAAACGTAGAATATTCCGCCTGATTTAGTAGTCTGAATACAGGTGCTATAATAGTCGAGATGCTTATGATAAGCGGTGATGCGAAAAACTTTTTCGCTGAAAAAAACACAAATGTTCCCCTCAAAGTCGCTGACCGACCTCCGACCGACCTCCGACCGACCTCCAACCGGCGCCCGACCGACCTCCGACCGACCTCCGACCGGCGCTCGACCGACACCCGACCTGCGCCCGATCGACCTCCGACCAACCTCCGACCAACCTCCGACCAACCTCCGACCAACCTCCGACCGGCGTTCACCTACCGCCGACCGACCTCCGACCGACTTCCGACCGACCTCCGACCGACCAGCCTTGTCTGGGCTATGACCAAAAACTATACACATTATCCCCGGTGATAACGACGCCAATTACTCGTGAGAGCTGGGT